TCCATCATCAGAACCTTCAGGGAGGAAAACAGGTAGGTGTACTTACAGTAAGACTGCTCTGTACAGTAACTTTAGAGTGCATACACTGTTGCACTGTGCTACTGTAATAAAGAAATGCATCAAATTGCCTCGCATACAGATAGAGTTTCAGTATGTTTCCATTTTTTCCTGTAAAAAGGATGTGTGACAGTTACAGTAATGAGTGCTTCTATTTTTGTAGGACACAGAGACGACCACCTGGTGGAGGCAGGCTAAGGCTTTTGTCGGCGGAGCAAGAGAGGGAGCTTGTAAACATGGTCATTGCCAATAATGTAATCCGCCTGCGAGAGATTCAAAGGAGAGTGATTGAGGATAATCATCATTTTCGAGGGATAAATGCCATCAGCCTCTCCACAATTGATCGTATCCTCCGAAAGCACAGGTTCCGGATGAAACAGGCGTACTGCGTCCCTTTCGAACGAAACTCTGACAGAGTGAAAGACCAACGAGTGGAATATGTTCAGGTATGAGTTTTGATATCGTATGAAGTATTGTGTACCATCACAGTATAGCAGTTTATGCTGCCATTTGTGCCCTCTTGAACTATGCTTCAGGGTAGTGATTTACTCTACTGTGTTTCATGTGTTTTGCAGAGAATCTTTGAGATTGAAGGCCGGCCTGTTCCCCATGAAATTATCTTTGTGGATGAGGCTGGTTTCAACCTGATCAAAAGAAGGAGGAGGGGGAGGAACATAATTGGCCATCGGGCTATTGTAAATGTCCCTGGTCAGCGCGGAGGGAATGTCACTATGTGTGCAGCCATCAGCCAACAAGGGGTAGTGTTCATCCCCGTGAATGAAATGATTTATTGGTTTGTTTTGTTATTTGATTTTTGAATATGTGTTACTTAGCTGAACGTGGACTAGGCCTAGATGTTGCAATGTGTTTAAATGACACTTCACTATCAATATATAACTGATCAAATTGAAAGACTTGTTGCTCGATTTTAGTGTTCTGTTTTTTGTGACTGACTTTGTACCTTCAATTATTCTTTAAAAAGGTTGTTTAAAATAAACAATCATTTTTAATAAAACATGATGTGAGCTTAATGGGCACAGGGGTGTGCTTAAAGGGTACAAACATGTACCCATTAAGCACAGCCAGACTTTTTGCATTTAATGATGTATATCTTAACTGAAATGCTTTTGTCATTTCAAATGAAATTAAAATATTTTGTGTGAGAGATTAATATTTTATTTTAACAAACTTTTTGTACTGAAACCAATATCTTGTGCACTAAAAATGTCTCAATGTAGATTTTGGTGAGCTTAATACGTTTACCCTAAACAAAACTCACAGATCCTCCCAGGGTTACAAACCATTGTGAAATGAATTGAATGTTTCAGACTCAGAGATGGGTGGAGTAACAGTACATGTGTCAGGTTTCTGTCTGCTAACCCTTTTTTTTTCTCACAGGGAACGTCTTGATAATATGAAATTTATTATTAAAGCATGATTGTAAAAGCTTAAATAAGATCTTAAAAAAATTAACAGATTGTTTAGACGAAATCTTAAAAGTTTTAAAATATTTACTTATTTACATGCAAATGTAACCTAAATTATGATTTTTATTCAGCAGTACCTGTTCAAAACTTAGTTTATAATTTTAAAGGATACTTGTACTTAGTTTATTTCAAAACATATTCCAGCTTAAATAAAAAGTGTACATATCTTAGATTATTACTAGGGCGAGCATGTAGCTATGATCTAGTTCTACACTTATATAGTTGTATTTTTCTGAACCGACCTTTATCAGCGTGATAAATGTCTGGGTGAAACATAGCCTTCTCTAAAATATATGTAGACAGACTATATGTTGATGGAGCATCTTGCCTGATGGGGTCACACAAACAGTATTTGAAGAGTGCATTTATGACTTTAACAGGAGCTAGTCCTTTGCCCAAATAACCTTCCGGTTCATTTAAAATGTTTGTTTAAACAACTTGTCAGGCTTAAGTCAACTACAGATACGAGAAAAGACATTCCAAATGCGACTCATGTCACCATGATACGCATTCTTCGGATACCCTCTGATCTTTGGGGGTTGTAAACACATTGAATGAAACAGCAGATGTGAGGTCTTCACCCTGAGAATATTTAATTGTACTTAACAAGTACAGATTAAGCTAAATGAAAAAGCGTACGCCACAACACACTTCTGATTACCGACGGTAGAAAATACCTACGCCGTTAAAACGGCGTATTTACAATAATTTGTGTTTGTGTTGTTAGACCATATTGTCTCTATAAAGATTTGTATGTTTATATTCTGTAACGCTGTTACAGAATTTGTCTTAGTGACATTCGATGGAATATTTTATTAAAAGAAACAAAACACTTTTGTAACTGACTAATATTTAAGCTAAACAAACATTTACAATGTGAAAAATTAAGAGAATTAAGAGATGTTAAAAGCTGCTGGCCTCATGTTTTCTTAAAGATGAACTAAATGAAAAAGCGTACGCCACAACAGACTCCTGATGACCGACGGTAGAAAATACCTACGCCGTTAAAACTTATATATACAGTATGTTACATTTTAAGATGACTCATGTTTCGTGTATACGATTGGGTGTGTGTATATGATTTTACTTTTCTTATTTTTACAAAGATTCAATTTAAATTCAATTCCTAATAAATATAAGACCAAACATTATATTACAAAATAATCATGTTGATAAACTCAACTCAACCTTTATTTATAAAGCACTTTCAAAACCATAAACATGGACCAAAGTGCTGTACACAAGTACATTTTTTTTTTTTTTTTACATAAAACATAGGAACAAAACATAAAATAAAAGATAAGTCATTCACAGTTGTCCTGACCAATCAAATGCCGAAAGCCTGATAAATCAAGTAAGTCTTTAAGTCCTTTTTAAAAATGTCCATGCTTGATGAGGATTTTACAGATAATGGCAGAACATTCCAAAGTGCTGGAGCCGCAACAGAAAAAGCTCGATCTCCACTCCGCCTCAGACGAGACTGTGGGACAGTCAAAAGCAAGCTCTGAGAGGAGCGCAATAGTCTATGCGATTGGTAAGGGACCAACGTATCCCTTATGTACTCAGGAGCCTGATCATGCAGAGCTTTATACACAAACATCAACAACTTGTATTGTATTCGATATTTTACAGGAAGCCAATGCAAAGATACCAACACAGGTGTTATATGACCCCGTTTTCTAGTGTTAGTTAAAAGTCTCGCTGCAGCATTCTGAACATAGGCCTACTGAAGGAGCATAACAAGAGATTCACTTATTCCTAAGTATAAACCATTACAATAGTCCAACCTTGTTGAAATAAAAGCATGTATAACAGCCTCTAAATCCTTGTTTGAAAGAACAGTTTTCAGTTTGGACGATCTCCTTAACTGAAAAATAAACATAAAATTTCTCAAGAGCAGGTTTTTGAAGGGGACACAAATAATACAGCTAAAATTGTACTTGTAATGATATGTATAAATAGAGGAAACCTTACTACTATTAGTGCAGCAGGGACACAAAACCGGACGCGCGCTCTCAGATACACGCTACTTTCGCCCTGAGAGAGTACCCTGTTTTTATACAGTCTATGTGTAACGGGGCTGACGAGACGTGAGACGTGTGGATCCATCTGCAAGCTTTATTAAAGAGACGTGGTAAACAGGCAGGGTCAAACAATGGCAAACAGGTATATGGCGGGCAAAACACAAGAATAGTCCCAAACATCAACAATTTGTATTGTATTTGATATTTTACAGAAAGCCAATGCAAAGATACCAACACAGGTGTTATATGACCCCGTTTTCTAGTGTTAGTTAAAAGTCTCGCTGCAGCATTCTGAACATAGGCCTACTGAAGGAGCATAACAAGAGATTCACTTATTCCTAAGTATAAACCATTACAATAGTCCAACCTTGTTGAAATAAAAGCATGTATAACAGCCTCTAAATCCTTGTTTGAAAGAACAGTTTTCAGTTTGGACGATCTCCTTAACTGAAAAATAAACATAAAATTTCTCAAGAGCAGGTTTTTGAAGGGGACACAAATAATACAGCTAAAATTGTACTTGTAATGATATGTATAAATAGAGGAAACCTTACTACTATTAGTGCAGCAGGGACACAAAACCGGACGCGCGCTCTCAGATACACGCTACTTTCGCCCTGAGAGAGTACCCTGTTTTTATACAGTCTATGTGTAACGGGGCTGACGAGACGTGAGACGTGTGGATCCATCTGCAAGCTTTATTAAAGAGACGTGGTAAGCAGGCAGGGTCAAACAATGGCAAACAGGTATATGGCGGGCAAAACACAAGAATAGTCCCAGGGCTAGCGTAGGTCACCGATCGGCTGGTGAATAAACGGAAGTCCATGGACCGAATTCGTGACACTATGGTCTCTCCTCTCACTCAAAGTGTGCGTGTATCTGAGAGTGCGCGTCCGGTTTTGTGTCAGAGCAAAGAAAATCTGCGTGCGGGGAAGAGATTCGCGCTTGCGCATTATATTAACGTGCTTTCATGCTACAATAATGCGCTCTCGACATTTGTCATTAAAATAACGCCATCGTCTCCCTGCGGAGTTTTGAGTCCTCATAATTAAGGTTGCTTACAAACAATATTTAATTAAAAATGTAAGCATATGCAGATATTTTTGTGTGACGGGCAGGTGTTTGTACAGTACAAAATCAATACGCCTATGGAGCGTCCCCGTAAACCAGATTTATATTATTACTCAAAATGATTGACCAGTGCAAAATTTACCCCCATGAACATAACAGCTTTTTACATTATAAATTATATTAAATGATGTTTATGAAAATATTAAAATGCAGAAAGTTTACTGTGATCGGTAGGTTTAGGGGTGATAGAGTATAAAATTCATTAATATAATGTAAATATGAATATAAAAGTTTGTAAATATGATGTAGAAACTTTAATTTTCTGTGAAACTGCGTTGCAACAATTTGTTTTGTAAAAAAAAAAGTTATAAGAAATTAATGTGAATTTAATTAAATTGTCTATGTAAAGGCTCCATAAACATGACTGGACATGTCCGTGCCCCCAATAGTCCTTATCGTTTGACCTGTTAAAAATATATATTTTTTTTCCCTGATCCTGGTAAAATGTGCGACGTTTTTAAATTTTTAGCGATGACTAAAACTAATGTAAATGTTTTGCTTTGCTTTATATCATATGTGATCGCCTAATTCATATATTTTCATTTAAAAGAAGATAATAATAATATTCGTATATATATATATATATAGCCGTAGGTTAAAGATAGTTTATTAGTTTTTTTAAGTAGATGTGATTTTGAGCAGTGACAGAGAACTTAGGAATGTGTAGATTACAACTGTAACAGAAGACAATATTTACATCGTCACGGATAGATCTGAAACGTGTACAAACACCTAGTACTACTGTTATTTAAACAAAACATAACATAATGTTTTGTTCGAACTCCGTAAAAAGGTTAATTAATATTTAAAATAGATGTGATATTAGCTAAACGCATTTTAAACCCCGTTTGAGACGGAAATTAGATACGATGATCAAAAACGAACTATTGCTCCACACTATGACTGCGTAGACCACTAAGCCATTGTAGACCATGTAAGATGTAAGCATTTAAAATAGGAAACTTAGTTAAAATATAAAAAGACCCGCTGGACATCAGATGAATAGGGAATAGGGAATTTTAAACATTAAAGTAATATCGCTCTTTGAGATAGATGTAGTGCATTTAAAACTTTTGCCAAACTTATCCACTTTCTCTCGGACCGAAATGACAGGAGCGGTGGGGGCTCGACACACACAGCCGTGAGCACAATCAC